TTTTTTTTGTTTTGCGAATGATTTGCCGCCCGAATTAGTGTTTGTCGCTGCGCAACGGGATTCGACCTACCCGCTCAGGTCGCAGGGTCGAGGGGGCAGCTCCCCCCTTGGGGGCTCGGGGGCAACGCCCCCGAAAGAGAATTTTATTTTCAAAAGTTTTTGAATAGGTGCATCTGTTCATTTTTAACAGTCACTTCCAATAGATGTACGCAAGGATTTCAAGGGATACACCTATTCAAACAGTTGCCTCAATTTCTATAAATTCTAGGCGAATTCTCATTTGCAAACATATTAAAACAATTTATTCTTCCTTCTTTCTCTTGGCATCAATCAGTTATTTTCGAGTGTCTTCTTGGTTTGATCAAATAGTCACAATTTGAATCAAACGCCTCCATTGTATCCTGAAAGAGATTTTCTATCATACCCCAGTTGTGACTTTGTTGAATCGGGGAGAAACATCTCTTAAAAGATAACGTTTTTTCGTGCCTTGGAGTTCATTAAAGTATTCAGATTTTCCTACATTTTTATCAACAAATATTATGTTACAAAACCAATGAATCAATGTAGTATTATATGCCGTACATATAACTACCTGATCTGAAGAAAAATAGGTTGTAACAGTAATTCTAAGACTAAAATTGGTATTAGAGATAACTAAAATTTGTTTACTAGAGGTGGATCAATCCAAATCTTTATGAAGTTGTAAAAGTCTTTATTATAAGTAGGATTAACACTTGCTGAGTGACGTTTGACAGCCCTCAACACGGCTAATTCTTTAACTAACTGGCATGCATTGGACAATATTGAAGAAGAAAAATAAACTAAAATCTTATTGATCATATTGTCCAACCATGTAACACGTAAGGGTTTTGAATTATATTTGATAATATTTTGCAGGAGAAAGGGGAGTTTTCCAATCTCTTCTCAGCCTTGCTACTCGGCAGGACCGTGCCCGAGTTGTCCTCAGTTGTCCCGAAAGGGGTGATGGTGCTAAAATTCTGGTGCTTTTGCCAGGTTCCCTTCAAGAACTTTTGGATTTGGGATATCAGAAATTTGGTTTCTATCCCACCGAGATTTTAACCAAAGATGGTGCTTTAATTGAGGATTTGGCTGTTATAAGAGATGGTGATCATCTTGTTCTAGCCAATGATGATGGACAATAGAGTGAAGAGCATAAATAGATGCATTCATATGGACATGTTACATGTACAATTTTATCTTGCCTATGTAAAAATCCCACTTCAGGAAAAAAAAAATTACGAGTAAATACTTCTTCCTCTAATGTGCAGTATTGTGGGAGTTCTCTTAATGCCATGTTTGTTAAGGAGTGACAAGAGTTTTGGATAATTTTATTTCTTCATATTTTAATTGCATTATAGAATTTCGAAATCTGTTCATTATCGTACTTATATATCAATTTTTATTTGTCATTCTTACGAATAATCTTTCATTAATTAGCACATTCGGTTTCTGATGAAAGTTTTCATCTACTAAGTCCAAAAAAAAAAAAAAAAAGAAGGTATTTTGCCTTCATATTTATAAAATAAGAAAAAAAACTCCCGAATACAATAGTGCACAAAATATCTGTCTCTGATTTCAAAGCATGCCATTGAGATTGTGTCTTACAAGTACATGAATTGCAAACAAATTATATAATGATGACTAGAGTGCCAAACTTATTAGGATGGACTATCTACATACTTTAATAAAACTAGTCTTAATCAACAAAAACACACAATTAATTATTGATTTAGTTTTTAACTAAGAAATTAAAAATAGACAAGCAAATTCTTGAAATTAACCAAATCATAAAAGGCACTAGGATTGCGAATTAACCACTGTTAACTTACTTTAATCCTCAATTGCTTGTTTGTAGACAATTTTTGCATAGTGTGAAAATTCGATGATCCAATTATAATCAATCGCATCTCTTGAGACCAATAAATCGTATACTTATATGTGAATAATTATCTCTAATTAAATTATTGACATATAAATAATATTCAAAAAGACAAAATAACTATTTCATAGAGCACAATGTTAACTGTATCTATTGTAGAACCCCATATTGTTTATTATCACGTGTTACATTATATATAACCTTTGAAAAGCTATATAAATCGTAAACACGTTCTCATAGTAGCCAATCATCAAAATGGAATAGGAGAATAATGAACAATTATCTTGAAATACCAGAAATAAACAAAAACGAGCAACTAGTTAATCAAAAAGTTAACCAAGTTTCATCTTTAATTCTATCCACAAAGGGATTAGCTTTCTTGGCATCTGAACCACTACCTCGGACCCACCACAAATTTTGGAGAGCTAGTAAAAAAATTGACTACTTCAAAGAGCATGGCCTATGAGTTTATCCACTGAGCTCGTCCAAGTGTTGTCCGCATCTAGGTATTAAGATTTGGAATTCTATCTTAAAAGGTCAACCTTATTAAGAGGAGTGGTCAAAATCCTTTCTAAGTTGGTCTATATTTCCATCCTTATTTGTTATCTCTTAACATATTATCGCAAAATGGTCGCTCGTTTGAACAGACCAATCTTGAAATTCATATGCTCATTTATTGAATCTTAATCGAATCGATTCGCTTGTTGAAGTTTAATGGACATTGATACCATATTAAGATTTTGAGTTCCATCTTAAAATGTCAACATTCTTATAGGAGTAGCCCAAAGCCTTTTTAAGCTAGTCTATATTTTCATCTTTATTTAATGTGAGAGTTTCATCTTTATTGTAATTGCCTTTTGCAACCAAGTTAGAAGAGATTACGCTACTTATTAATTATCAAATCAGCAGTATTATTGTAAGTTCTTTAAGCATTAACTATAAGATAGTATTCAAAATTATTATTTAAAAGTTATAGAAATAATCTAATGCCCAGGTGGGCATGGGTGGTCAGATCAATTCTATAAAAAGTTATTGTTCAAAAGTATTGTTCATTCCATTATAAAATCCTTAACCATGAATATCTTCAACACTTTCGGATGACACCTTATTCTACTTCAATATCATCCAAAGTCTCCAAGAATTTTGATAGACCCCTAATCCAATTCACCTATGCAAGAAAGGGAGAAAATGAAAGACACATCCAACATAGAGGGCTGCCAAGACGATTAATTTTTAGCTAGGGGTAAAAGTGTAATATAATGTAGTAGGTGAATTCTAATAAATGTGAAGGAGGATGGGATGTTTGCATCATTCTTTTCCACTGGAATGCAATTAGAGTGGAGAGATCGAGCCTCTCCAATAGTCCTAGAAATTGTCTGCTACATTTCAGTTATTACTATCAATACATATCCATTTTGCTATTATATTCCATTTAAATCCATCTAATCTGCAGGTTATCCTTAAGTGTTTTGGTCGAGTCCTAACAATTATGAAAGAAAAATGCAAACATCCCACCCCCCTTCACATTTATTGGAATTTGCCTACTACATATTATTACTCTTTTAACCCTAGCTAAAAACTAATTGTCTTGGTAGCCCTCTATGTTGGGTGTGTCATTCATTTTCTCCCTTCTTGCATAGGTGAACCGAATTAAGCGTCTATCAAATTTCTTGTAATTTTGTTCCAAGAATTTTGTCGTATAATGTTGTTGAATTCTCCCTATATGATTTTATATTATGTGGTTTGGAAAATATATTATTATAGTGGAAATTACGCTGGATGTCATTTTTTGGTTTTGCATTTACAAAAATGTCATCTTTTAATAGTTTTGACCAAACTATCACTTCATGACTTTTATGGCCCTCAAAAAAAAATTGAAATACCTTAGATGTCCTTAATTAAAATTGATTTGACTAGATGAAATAATAGTACAAAAAGTTACTTTACATCACATCAAAAGGTCCCATCTCACTACTTACAAGAAAAAAAACAAAAATTAAAAAAAATATATATGAAAACTAAAAATGTAAAAATATTCATTCATATAGCAACCAAAACCCTAAACCTAAACAACTCTCAATTTCCTCACTCAGTCAAGATCTTCTGTGATTGCCAAAATATCCATTTTGGTCCAGGTTTGTAGGTCTAAAAAGTTCATACAATTTACTCTGGTTGCCATGCTGAAGTCCTAAACCTATGTACATTTTACTGAAATTATAAGGAATCTACTTAAGTTTAGGAGAATTGTTGAAGATCAATATCTACTTTTTGGTATGTTTCGTTTTATTTTATTTTTTTCTGACTTGATTTGGATATTTTCATGTTCCCTTAAGAAAAAAAATGTTGTGATTCGAAAAGAGATTATCTCGATTCATGGAATTTTTCCTGTTGATGGTGGGAAGATAGAAATGCTGGTTTGGTTGCAAGTTCATTATAATTTTTATCTTTACTTTCTTATAATTGATATCATGAAGTCTAGCGAAGTATCCTTGTGAATTCACAAATTTTGGTGTGCAATGAGATGGCTATAATGTAAATAGACTTCTTGCACTTTTTAATCAACAAACAATGGTAAAGCCGTATTAGTTAATGGTAGAAGATTAACTATGAGTAAGAATAAATGTCTCTTCACTATACATAGTATTTTCATATAACTATTAAAAATGTGAATATTACAAGTTTACAATTGGGCTTTGTTTATTTTCAGTTTTTTATTTTTATTTTTTCCTCCTCTGAAACGAAGAAGGAAATTAACTAGGTCAACTGGAAAACTAGAGAGGAAACACCATAACTCTTGATAGACGTTCCCGACATTTTATCTATTGACAAGTTCATCTGTCAATAATTATCAAGGCTAACTGTCGGGAACGACAGTTCAGTCTTTACCTGAGCTCAGTGTGTTTCACATTAATTTCGATCTTACATAAGTAAATTTGTAAAAGGTGATTTGAAGTAATATGTGTGATATTCATTGTATGCATTTTGTGGAAATCTTGATTGACACTTGACATATATTTCGTTTCAATGTGTATGTTACCTGTGTTATAGCCTTGCTTTCACTTGCAATCCACTTGTTGTGTGTGGTACTCGTTGTATTCGGGTGTAACTCTTGATAGACACTTCATAGCATACTTATGGTTTTTGGTCTATATGCAGCTAGAAATATTATATTATCATCTGATGCATTCATTTCTTGTTTTATCTTTGCATACACGGATTTCGAGCTTCTTGCTCAGGAGACAGTGACGACAAGGAAGCTTGTGTTGGTTTGGGGGACGGTGACAACAAGAAAGTTCCCTACGCTGGTATGGGAAACGTTGAGCAAAACTTAATTGCTTCTGCTAGCGGCATGGCAGGGGGGATGTAAGTTTCTTGTGAGAAAATTTTGATCTGATTAATTATGGTTAGTGGTACAAATTTCGATTAAATATTTAGGGCCCTCTGCAATATTTTGTAGGTGGTGCGAGTGAAATGCCGACGGAGGCCACCACAGTCGTGCCCGGGGATACGGCACCTATCTCAAAGATGATGTGATCTGCACGCTTGCGACATCCTGCACCGTCTACTAGGACTCCGTACATGAGGAAGATTGCAAAGAAAGTGAAAAAATAAGGGAGCAATTCTTTTTTGTTTTGGCAACTTCGACAATACAATTGCATTCGAAAACTTAAATGCCATGAAATTTGGAACCTGATGTATAATTGCACTTATTGAGCTCGTATTAAATGCAATTAAACTCTACTCTGATACAGTATATAATACAAATGGATTGAATCACAAACTCTATACACTTTTCTGAAATTCTATCAAACGTTTTGTTATTTTGTGAGGTGATCGATAAAGATAGCATGGACCTGAACGCTATTACATTTCTTCATCTTGCTTTCTACGTGTTTTGTCTCAAAATACTCATTTTACTTATGTATGACGGCCTATGTGCAGAATCGTACTCATGACCTGAACAAGTATCAAAGTGTTGGTCGACAGGTTCTTGTTGTAATGGGAGGTGGATCCAATTGATGTCCATGTCAAAGAAAGAGCAACGTTGACAATGTTTTACTTCGGGTGACTGCGGAGAATGCACGAAGGAACATTTTGTTTTATATTATTGTATATTTATTTTTTGGGAAATGTTGGTATGTTCAAGTGGTATTCAGTGTCAAAGAAACTGTGTGAATTTAGTACGGAAAATGTTGGTATGGAAACTGTTTTTGGCACACTTTGTAAGTTTCTTACTTTTTGAACTCATTCGACCTAGAGATTAAAACTGGTATCTAATTGAAAAATGAAAATTGGTGCATTTTATAAGTTTCTCGCTTTCAAAAAAATGAAAGTTTGACTAATATCCGGATCGTAGTTCGTAAATGGAAATTATAAAGATTATAAGTTTCTCCTTTTTGGAGAAATTGAAATTAATGCATTTTATAAGTTTCTCATTGAAAACGTCAATGAGAAAATGATAGTGAATGTCTAACTAATACAAATACACTTGGTTGAAGGCATAATCCACCCCTTGAAAGACTAGAGAAGCTCTTGTAAGACTCTCATATTGAAACAGTTAGTAATACGAGATAATGGGTTCATCCACCTTCAGCAACGAACCATTCAACATCAATATGCATCCACCAATACTAGGTTCGCCACTGAATTTCCCATCGTTTTATCCTCGGATGATGAGGAGGTAAGCATTGAGCACCATGGTGCCAAGTTTGACGAAGTGTCAAGTGCAGAATCTAAGTCACCGAACAGCGTGCTCGATTAAGTTTTCAAGGTCAGAGATCTGATCAAATCACCGTCTGACTCGGATGAGTGGCTGGCTCATCTTCAACATCCAGAAATAATTGTCATAAGCTAAGACGACTCTGATGGAAAAAGTGGGGGAGAAGCTCAAAATGTCGATAGCAATACAAGTGTGCAATAAATGGCCATTTTGTAGGAAATTATGAATAGTATCTTGTGGTAGGGATGGTTTTGGTCACGTCCTCTGCGTACATGCAACAATAGCATGTTCATAATGGGTAACCACTATAGCGTATTTTTGGAAGCCGTTATTGTTCCCAATTGTCGAGAATTACAGAACCTATCTGTCGAGGACGACATATGAATTGTCGAGATGTAATATTGGTGTTTTGCTTGTGAATTGTCGTTTCATGAAAATCAATTTTCCATTTCAACAAACTATCAGTCGAAACTAATGGAACCATAATGATCTGTTAAGTTTATAATGAAAATAACGTATACATCCCGTTTGTGCTAATGGAGCCGTAATGATCGATACTTTGCTTGCAAAACATAACGACCAATTTTTTTATTGGCATATGATAATAACAAATAATAAATAACATAATTTCAGAATGTACACTACATATGTGGGAACATTTTTGAGATTACATTTGACAATCACTTTTACCACCAATTTAAGTCTTTATCGTCGCGTATTTCGACCGGAGATATGTTCAAGTTAGGAATTTTGAACTTCAATTCAATTTGAGTGTGGGGATCAAGAATACCAAGTTTGTCCTTCAACCTTAACAAAAATTCGACTACGGTGATACTTGTTGGCACCAGAATGGAAGTGGTTTTGTCCCCTCTCCACTTTCATTTGTCATCCGCATGAACAAACTTTTTCCCATGCGACATGATAAATCTCACATGATTACTCATACCTAAAATGTTGGGATTGCAACGATAAGAATTCAGAATCAATATATTAGCATTTAATAGCATGAAAGTGGCACTACATAATACATAAATCCATACAATAGCAAAATGTCAAATCAAGGGTTTCCATCGTTTTGAAGTGTCCAAATTGAAAGTAAAATTGTATCACCTGACAGTTTGTAAATGTCGGGTTTGATATCTCAAACGTCTAACCCGACGGTTTGTAAATGTCGAACTCAACAGTTCAACTGTCGGGAATGTCGGGAAGCAGATGGCAGTGGGTTTCTCAGGCTTCTTCAACACATCACATTAAGTGTGGTCATTATTATTTAGCTACAAAATGACAAAATGTAAATGACATATGGGTCTTGTCATTAAAAAGACCTTAATGGTGGTAATTGGAGAAATTACTCAAAACCTTAATGGTGACAATGACATTTTGTGAGGATTCCAAAACCAAACAAATGAATGCATAATACTTTCAAAAATTTCAAAGAAATATGTCCATGTTGTATTTAACATGTATAAATAAAAAGTTATAAAAGTAAAATATAAATAATTTGTAATTGCTAACCTCTCAAAATGGATGAAGAATGCAACACAAATGTCTTCTTGAGTAATGAAAATTAAGAAGATGGAGAAAAGGTAGACTTTCTTGTTTATTTTACGTTTTCAAATTTCTTTGGTGATTTTTTATTAACAAAAATTCATATTAATTAATAAAAAAAACATTTCTCTATATTTTCTATATAGAAATTAAATGATCACATCAAATCAATGCGTTTCCTTCAAATCAAGCATTTAATGCAACTAGAAATGTGTCATTAAGGGTAATTTGGACTTTGCACCCAAAAAATGTGACATTTTTGCTTACAAAAAGTGAAAATGACAAATTTTTTGAAACTTTCATTTTTGTAAATTCCCCTATATTATAACCTTCAATGTGCCGAAGAAGTCGCATCTTGAGAAACCTTAAATACCATTGAAGTTGTAGAGGACCCTTGCTAGAATTAACTACCAGTGCAGCCTTGGCCAGTTGCTCACAACTTGAAATACAATTGGGGGGATTTGCTTCAGGCTGAGAGGCATCGCCACTCCTTTCTCCAAATTTTACACACCAAGCCTCCCAACTTTCGGATCTCTTCCAAGTGTTCAATTTGGTCCCCTAACTTTTTCAAATTTAGTCCAATTGAGTCTCGATATTTTCAGCACCTTTAAAATTTCATTATTTTGTCCAAATTAAGCTTAAAATCACTTACTTTTGCTCAATTCACCTCCAAGTCGGGATTATTTTTTCCTATAATAGCAATATATACACTAAATTAAGAGCTCAAATAATCAAATATTTAATATATTCAAGAGTCTATTTAACATTGTAAAATACACTTATCACATGCTAACAGAATATTTGAACATAAACCATCTAAGATTTGATAGCTTATTTATAGAAGATTGATGATAAGAATACAACAAAAAATGGAGATTAAAGTACGACAATATGCAGAAATTGGGGATCTCCAATGCAATTAAAAAGTACTGAAACTACATAAAATGTTGTGTGAATATAATTACCGCAAACAAACCTAAGCTTCATTGGTACATTAAAATGTCGGGCATAGGCAAACCTTTACCATGTATCTAGCTCTATGCATTGCATTCTTTCGTATTATGTTATAAGGTATTAGAGCATTGCAAATTGAGAAACCTTTACTAGAGCAAGTGCAAACTAGGAACAACTAGATGATTAAGATTCATGAGTTAGTACCAATTTTTTATACACTTTTAATTTTGCAATTTATATTTTGATGCATTAGGTATATGTGCATCATTATTTGTTTACTTTTATTTTTCTTGCATTCTGGAATCTTGAACCAATATCTCTCCCATCTTTCTTTGCCTGAAATTGGCACTGTTGGGTTTTGATGCCCAATAACTCTCCGAGCAATGATGTAGCCTCAGTTTTATCCATTATCAATCGGTCTTGGCCATATGATTGATTTATATGTCGACACTATTATTGAGACAACCCAACCCACATCCCTACGGACCGTTAGAAGCAACCTATTTTTAATAGTGTTGCTCATGGTTCGTCCCACTTTCTTGGAGGGCTATGGTATTAATTTGGAGCCCATTATTTTGAGATGAGCCTTGTTTGGTCCACTAAATAAACCTAACCTAATTACCATTTTTTGGCCACTCACTTGGCTTATATTCTCGGCCTCTCTTCGCCTCCACTATGAAGCATAATCCATCTCTCTCTGTGACTTTGATTCTCGGCTTCTCCTTTTCATATAACCTTTGTGGTTTCTTGTGAACAACCTATTATTCTTCATCTTGGCCAACTCTTTGTGAGTATATTGTAGTAACCGGAGGTGGGAACAAAGGCGGTGGTTTTGGGTGTTGTCTCAATTGGCGGTGGTGTCGACATATTGTGGAAACTAAGCCCGATTTACCTTGGGTCTTGTTGGAATTCGACCTTACAACTGGTATCAGAGCCAAGGTCACCATCTCCAGCAAGAAATTGACTCAAAAGGGCGGTGGGTTCGCATTTTTTCAAAAGGGAGCTGAACCTGCAATCGTGAATTTCGGCCAAACTACAAACTTTCTGACAAAACTGACCCCACACTCGGAATCAGCAGGCAGAGACGCTCCTTCCAGTGGGGCGCGCGGTGGCGGTTGCGCGTGGTGGCTTTTTCCGACGAACTTTCTTCGAGCAGTTTGCTCATTTCGATTCCCTGAATGAACTGAAACTGTTCATTTTTTGTTTCAGGTTACACAGAAAAGTTGGACAACTTTGCCCCTGGTGGATTGACGATTGAAATTGTCATATATTTACTGAATTACTTTAGGCCAAAATCGTGGCCCTAAAGCAGTAGATTCACATCTCTCTCGATTATACGGACTCAGACACGTCCGCTCTGGTAAATTGGCTTAACTCATTAATTGCAGCGTTAGCGCGTCACCGTGTGGGGTGACAATAGGTTGGGGGTTGTCGTTGTTTGACAACCATTGCTTGTGCTAGAAATTAGGATTATTTGCTCTTTTGTGATTGAGTACTTATCTTTGGATAAATTAGCATATTGTGCTTTGTGCTAAAATTGCCGTGAAATTTCG